GGCTCAGCACCCGCCTACTTCCACTCACTACTACGAATCTACATCCCCTCCAGAAGTCTGAGATCCACTAGTGAGCAACGTCTCGTGGTACCATCACAGAGAGGCTCAAAATCACTTTCCAGAATGTTCTCGTTCACTGTTCCTGGCTGGTGGAACGATCTTCCCACCCCTATCCGGAATGCTGAATCCCTGACAATTTTCAAACGACAGCTGAAAACTCATCTCTTTAAACGCTACTTGACTTCATCTTAAAAAAAAAAAGTTTTCTTTCTCTTTATTTTTTCTAGGTTGTACTTATTTGAACAATGCCTAAAACTTGGTATTACAAGCACTTCCTGTGTCTGTTTGCCTCTTTAAGAAGAATCGCTTTATGTATTCCCCAATTGTAAGTCGCTTTGGATAAAAGCATCTGCAAAATGACTAAATGTAAATGTCTAAATGTATGGCGGTAGCCATCCTGTGTGTTTGGATTACTCACTGCTCTGTTACTCAAGTCAAGTGAACTCTCTGCTTGTCCTGTTGTGGCTGCAGAGGCCGCTGTCTATACTCTCTGTTCCAGTCCCGCCTTATCCGCCGTGTTAGTCCCCGGAACCATCTGTTCCACTAAAGTGGTCATTTGTTCCACCATGGGGATCTTCGGTCCTGTCTGCTCTGCTGTGGTAGTCTCCTGCTCTGCCGGCTCCGCCCTGGCTTCCTTCTCTGCCAGCTCTGACCTAGTGGTCTTCAGTCTCACCTGCTCCGCCCTAGTGGTCCTTGACTCTGCCCTGGCTTCCTGCTCTGCCGGCTTTGAACTGGTGGTCTTCTGCTCTGCGTGGACTCCCTGCTCCACCTGCTGTGCCACTGCTCCATGGCCCAGGTCCTCCACTGCTCCACGGTCTACCACTGCTCCATGGTCTGCCACTGCTCCATGGTCCAGGTTCTCCACTGCTCCACGGTCTAGGTCCACCACTGCTCCATAGTCCAGGTCATCCACTGCTCCACGGTCTAGGTCCACCACTGCTCCTTGGTCCAGATCCTCCAGTGCTTCACTTTCCAGGCCCACCTCTGCTCCATGGTCTAGACCTGCCCTTGCTTCACTTTCCAGGTTCACCACTGCTCCACGGTCTGCCTCTGCTCCACGTCCCAGGTCCACCTTGGCCCCACTGCCCAGATCTGCCACTGCCCCATGGTCCTGGCCTACCACTGCTCCTCAGTTCTGATCCTCTGCCATGCTATGATTCTGATCCTGTTCCCCTGCATGGGCCTGGCCCTCCATCCCTCCCCCTATTCAACCTCCACTCTACCACCCTCCTGGACTTTTTGAGTTTTGTTTGGGTTGGAGTGGGTGTTACGTTAGGGCGTCTGAAGCTGCCTTTAGAGGGGGTATATGTCATGCTGGTTTTTGGGTTTTGTTTTGAAGGTTTTCTTTCCTTGTATTTTGATATTTAACCATGCTTCATGTTCCTGTCATGTGTTTTCCTACCCTGTTACATGATCCTTCTATCGGTTCCTTTGTTCAGTGTGTCATGTTGTGATTGGTTGTCTTAGTCATGTGTCTTGTTTCTCACTGGTTGGATGGTGTCATGTGACCGATATTGTTTGGCATAAGTAGCCCTCATGTTGCCATTGTCTCTGGTCGAGTATTGTTCATGTAATCCTCTGTTGGAGAGTCTTGTTCATGTTTTTGCTAAGCCAAACTTTGTTCATGTTTTTGGTCACTGTTGGATTTTTAATAAACTGCACTTGGGTTCATTACAACTAGCCTTCAATGGACTAATCGTTACACCTTTTTCCAATTTTCTACTGTCCAATCATTTTCCTGTTCTTAGCTGACAGCTCTTGTACTTCCTTTGTAACGAGTGGTTATTTGAATTACTCTTGCCTTTCTATCAGCTCGAACCAGACCATTTTTCTCTGACCTCTGGCACCAACAAGGCATTTTTGCCCAAAGAACTGCCGCTCACTGGATATTTTCTCTTATTTGGACTATTTTCTGTAAACCCTAGAGATGGTTTTGCATGAAAATCCCAGTATATCAGCAGTTTCTGAAATACTCAGACCAGCCAATCTGGCAACAACCAAAGTCACCTTTCCTCCCCGTTCTGATGCTCAGTTTGAACTCCATCAGATCGTCTTGACCCTGTCTACATGCCTAAATGGATTGAGTTGCTGCCATGTGATTAGCTGATTTGATATTTGCGTTAACAAGCAGTTAAACAGGTGCAACTAATAAAGTGGCCTGTGAGTGTATATACACATAATTAACTAATAATCTAGATTAGCATATATCTTGTTCTCTTTTTCTTTAGCCTGCTTTTTTCTGGATTGCTCTTCTCTCTAGCTTGAGCAGTGACTAACGACTAATGAATGTAAATTTAAGACTTTGTATATATAAATTTATAGAGTTTGTATTTCTAGCTTTCTGTGCTTTTCTAAGGTGTGGGGAGTTCACTTTTAAATAACTCCATTAATCCTGCCATTATTCACACTATGTCAGATATTATTTTAGACCATCACCAACTGACTTTATTGCTTGTTCTGAAAAGCGATGTGTATGCTGATTGGCCAGCTATCCTGTGTGCTGTGATTGGCTGAATACCTCAAGTGTTTGACGGAAATGTTACGCCCCTTACCATAATGTGATGCTGTGTCCCGGCACGATGAGACAAAACCAATAAAACCCATTAAAAACAAGCCATTTGTTGAATCCAGTGGGGACATAATTACTGATTATAATGACTTATACTGTCTTTTTACGCGTTGCGTTGCGTATCGTGCCGCGTAAACATAAAACCATGTCTGCATTTGTGATCGGAGAAACGACAAACAACAAGCGCTACTCTACACTGCTTAAAACTCGCGTTTGAATCATCAGTGGTAAATTCTTTAAATATAAAAAACATACTTACAGGCTGTGAGTCAGAAGCGCCAGACTGTCCTTGCAAAGTTGGAACTGCCCCACTTTATAGAAACAGCCTTTGTGCACAGACTGTAAGCGCGAAGTTGATGTATTTCCTCAGCGACCAGCACGGATCAGCTCTAGGCATGACGAAGTGGATATCGTCCACTTTTGGAAGGCCAAACAAAGTAGTTTCGCTTTCACAACGAAACACACAGCATCTCCACAACATGGCAGCGGCGGCAACAATACTACAGTGAGAATAAAAGTTACGCCTTCTTTCTTTGCGTGAACATTTAGGCAGTGTTATGCAAATCTTCCCACATAGTGACGTAGACATGTGGGGGCGTGTTTAAACGAAGTGTTTTAGGAGGGCGTGGACGAGTCTTAACTTTTATAAAGAATAACTCTTTGCAACTTTAGGGATCTTATCTATGCACGAACAGCTTGTAACACTCCAAAGAGAAAGGAAAATTTGAAATTGCATCATATGACCCCTTTAATTAATTTTAATGAGAAACAATGAGAAACAGGTGAATAAAGACTGACAGTCAATGTTTAATTTTTGTCATTTTTGCTCGTTTATATGGGCCATCCCAAGCATGAATGCAATGTGTTCGATGTCAAACTCCAAAATCAGATTATTTTTAATTCTTAAAAAATTATTTAATTCTTATTTGAAAAAATAATTATTTTATTTTATTAACAAAATATTTTAGTTTGTCTTGTATATTTTTTTCATTCGATCAGATAATATTTTAAGCTGTTATATGGTCATATTACAACGTGCCCCTCAGATGTTACAATGTACCCCACCTACGGGGCATATTGTAACATTTCACTTCCATTTTTTGAGGGTAAATAAAGAAAAAAGTATACACTGTAATCATGAAACAAAGCAATATATTTGTACTAGACAAGTGTAAAATTACTGTGGATTAAAATTTTATATTCTGAACCCCATATGGATTTACACAAACTGAGAAAGTCAAAAAGTGTTACTTTGTGCCCCGCTCTCCCCTATTTTTCAATAGGCAAATGCACATATTTCTTTCAAAGCTCCTTTAGGCTGCATTGTATTCTTACAGGATGTTACACAAACACTGGATTCATACATGCTTATTATACACTGTAATCATGAAACAAAGCAATATATTTGTACTAGACAAGTGTAAAATTACTGTGGATTAAAATTTTATATTCTGAACCCCATATGGATTTACACAAACTGAGAAAGTCAAAAAGTGTTACTTTGTGCCCCGCTCTCCCCTATTTTTCAATAGGCAAATGCACATATTTCTTTCAAAGCTCCTTTAGGCTGCATTGTATTCTTACAGGATGTTACACAAACACTGGATTCATACATGCTTATTGTTAACACTAATCCAAAGTTGGTTGAAATAATAATAATGAATTATTATTAATATTTCTGTGATGATAACTATGTAAACTAAATCTGCCACAATGCAGATTATATGATAACAATATACTAGGCTACTATATGAAACGCTTACCGCTGTATATGGCATTATAATGTTTCCATACTGTTTGGAAACGAAACATAAGGTTGTAGTATGCAGAATACTAGTATTTAATAAGACGGCGGTGACGACTTTTATAGTAACTTTTTAAAAAACAAATAAATAAATAAATAATTCGCAAAGTTTCTGACCGCCTATAATATTTGAATGATTTTATTAGTAGATGAACTGGCACTCACCATCTTGAGTTCTCTTTCGATCTGAACTGCCCTCTGGACTATGGGACCCCGTACAGCGTATTCCACGCGTTTAACGTTCGGGTTCATCGTGTCCATCGTCAGCACCCTGTCACGGTATTCACAGCCGTTCTCAGTCATTCTCCGTGTATTCCTTTTCAGAGAATTTCTGGTGAAAAACCTGGTGATAACAGAACAGACGTGCAATACTCAAATAATACGGCAATCAAGAACGTCATATGCATGCACATCCTCTGTTTCCCCCCTTCTTCTTCTTCTTCTTCTTCTTCTTCTTCTTCTTCTTCTTCTTCTTCTTCTTCTTCTTCTTCTTCTTCTTCTTCTTCTTCTTTCTTCTTTCTTCTTTCTTGGAGGAGACAAATTGACACGTGTGCGATGGCACCTCTTGTATCCATTAGTTTTCTTCTTCTTCTTCATCCGCTCTTGATTCTATGGTAGCCCATAGAACTTTTGGGAAAGTTATCAAATCTGGCACATAGATAAAGCCAAGGACGCCTTTTAACCATAGCAAATTTGGGGCAGTACTCCAAATCACTATAGGCGGAGTTGGCAAATGCTAGGGGGGCAGTGCATCCATATGTGCGCTCAATAGATTATTTTTTATATATATAACGTTATATAATAATCTTTTTTATTATGGCTGCACGATAAATCGAAATAAATATGGCTAAATGCGATAGTATTATCACGAAGGCTGCCATTACCGTTAACAGAGGCCAGAGACGCTAAACGCACAGAGGACGTGCAAAATATTGGAAGAAAATCCTAAATAGTAAATTGGGGATGAGATTTACATGAATGTATCTGAATATTCATAAGAAAAGTTTAGATGGCAATTTTTTTCATCTTACCTCCATATAATGCTCATTAAAAATGTTTCTATAAGCCAGGGCTGCTTTGTTTACAGCGGTAACTAAGGAAACGCTATATTGCCGTTGTTCCATAAGCGCCACCTGCTGTCAGAGAGGGAATCTGCCATCTCATTCATCCCGTCTGCTGTTTTTGTTTCGTGCAGATTTTTTATGTAGCATAATTTTACAAAGCTAAAGTCAGACCATTCTGATTTTGCTTAAAATGTAGAAATTATACAGTCTAATTTAAATAAAAAACTGCTCTTGCTACATGTATGTAGCATCTTTGATTGGATCATATTCCAGATTTGGCCTATTACAGTTCAGCCTGTAATAGAGCAAATAAACATCTTGTTCATGTACACGTATTTTCATTCTTTCTGGTCTCTTTCTTAAATTGCTAATTTTAAGAATGTTTGAAACGAAGTAATCAAGACATATATTAGTATTGCAATTTTACTTTACTTTAATTTTTAATTTTAATGTAATAAAATTAGATTAAATATTGCAGTGTAGGCAGGCCCGGATTGGCTAATCGGGTAATTGGCTAATTCCCGGTGGGCCGGTCTGTGTTTTGGCCGTCATAACGCAATTTGTCCCGTATTCGCAGGCACGCCATATGACCACCAGACCATATGAATAACAAATTCTCAATTGATAATGAATCATTCTTTGTGCGCAAATTGTTTTATTTGTGAACGTAGCCACTCAAGGAAGAAGCCGCTCGAGCTAACGCCAATTCCCTTCACCGTCTGAATTTTGATTTTGGCAAATCAGTTTGGGCGAATGCAACTTATTGATCATGAGCCCAACATCCAGCAAGGCAGGAAAACATTCAGTCTACCTGAGGAAAGACGTCTTTCACTATTGTAAGTTAATGCTGTTAAATAGAGAGAGAGAAATACATTTTTAAAAATGAGCTTCATTCTTAAACTTGGTCCTCAGTATATTATTGAAGTACAAATCCAAGCACTAGAAAGTAGGCCGCACTCTCCAATTTTTCTTTAATTGAAAAATATGCATTTTCATTCATTCATAGGCTATATGGTTGCACTAATATTTTAGTTCAAAAATGTGAGTGCCATTGTTTAAAAAAATGCTTTATTGACTGACGTTTCATAGACCTTCAGTTGTTATGCTTTCAAATTTCATGCAATTGTATGAAATTTCTCAGTATTTTCACCTCCTAAATTAGTAGGCCAATACATTTTTAAAAATGAGCTTCATTCTTAAACTTGGTCCTCAGTATATTATTGAAGTACAAATCCAAGCACTAGAAAGTAGGCCGCACTCTCCAATTTTTCTTTAATTGAAAAATATGCATTTTCATTCATTCATAGGCTAGCCTATATGGTTGCAATAATATTTTAGTTCAAAAATTCAAGTGTCATTGTTTAAAAAAAAAAAAATGCTTTATTGACTGATGTTTCATAGACCTTCAGTTGTTATGCTTTCAAATTTAATGCAATTGTATGTAATTTCACAGTATTTTCACCTCCTAAATTCGTAGGCCTTCACTACTTTTCAGTCACAATTCTTTAATGGTACAATTTACTTTTTTTTTTTTTGTATGACATTAAAATAAGTTTTTGAATAAATGTACATAAATAGGTTAAGCAAAACAAATGTGATTATTTTTGAGAACTTTTGAACTGCAGGCAGACATACATTATGGTACAGTACAAATATTTTGAGCGTCCCTTATTCTGTCCCTTATTAAGAATCACAATTGTTCCTTATTTTCCATTTGCGGCACCTTGCTAAGAAAAAAAAAAAAAAAAACTCAGTTGTTGGAGATATGCGAGCAAAAGATATATAAAGGCCAGTATATATA